TCAGCAAATATACTTTTACTTTACAATTTTTACGTTAAAATATACTAATAATGACATACAGTTTCTCGAACAGCCTCTAAGAATTTAGAACTAAAATTTTAGCTTAAATGTATAATAAATATTTAAATAAATACATATGTTTGGACCATAGCACCATCTAGTTCCATGGTAAGCTACGAGACTTGTTTTAGGGATACCAGATAGTTGATACACTACACATATATAACTTTAAAAACATACATATCATAAATATAAACACCCGTGAGTGGAGTAATTGTACATTCGTGCTCATCACACAAATGAATGCCCACAGCAGGACTCGAACCCGCGACTTGTTGACACAACAAGTCAAGTTTATAGAAACGAAGTCAAACCTGTCGTCATATATACGTATATGTATAATTATATATATATATATATATATATATATATATATATATACATAATATTATTCAATATCTAAAATACAACAGATCTATCTAACGTAGAACATTTTGTCATACATTTTGTCTTTAAAAAGCTCTAGGCATTTGTATTTATTGTTTAATTTATTCATAACATTATTTCATAAAGGCATTGTCTCACTTTCTTTCCTTTCGTTAAGAATTTACCCACATTGTAAATTTATGCAACTTAATTATAAGGTTACTATAGAAATGATACGTAGAGAAAAGTGTTTTAAGTAAATTCGTTATATTATGATGTAATCTTTTTAAAACATTATAATTATATGCACTCAAAGACTTATGTAGATAGAATTATGTAGATGGAGCCCACCAAAATAAATGTCGAAGTTAAAAAGAGTAGCATGATTTACTTTTTATGCTACTATTCGTATATCGTTTACTTTCTTAAAGATTAAAGGAAACATGTATTAGTTAAATTAATACACAATTTTTGAGAATAAAATATGAATAAGAAATATAATACTATATTCTTTTGTATTTTTAAGCATTAGTTCTTAGCATGAGTTAGCCTTTGAAAGAGAAATGGCATAATATTAGTTTATTTAAATATTTTATCTTTCTTATAATACTAGCATTGCCCGCGGCTCCGCCCGCGTTCAGATTACCAAAAACAAAATTCTTAGGTTTTACATATTAGTATACTCTTACAATACAGTTTTTGTATTTTTTCTCAGAATTAAAATATTTTCCGGCAGAAAAAAGTATCCTATATGTTGACCCGGATAACCAGCTATCACCAAAATTTCATGAAAATCCCACAGTGGTTTTTCCGTGATGCGGTAACAGACAGACAGACACAAATTCTAAAAACTATAGATTCGGCTATCGATAATAATGTCTAATGCAATAAGATTTTCCAAAAAATATTTAATGTACAGATTCAACTTAGTTACAATTTTATTATAAGTATAGATTTACTTATCACTCAGTATATAAACTGTCGTCTGTCAATATCGTTTGGCTTCATGTTAGGTTCTATGACACTGTCTATATTATTTCTTAGTCTGAGTATGCATCATATTAAATTAAATATTATTATAATTTAACAAGTTTTTTAGAAATTTGCGTCTCACACTTCTTTCTTTTACTGGGTGCCTTTTGTTTTATTAGTATAATATACATGCAGCGACACTTGGCAAATTTTCAGTATCCTATGTGCTACACCAGTTCAAAGATAAACTTCCAAATCCGTTCAACATCGTTCGTTCACAAGCTCTAACATATACATACACACAAATTTAGTATCGATTCTGCCAAAATATAACCATTTTCCTTTGCTACCAGTACAAATAGTATAAGTAGAAATTTCAAAAGAAAATGATGGTTTCAATATATACATTTTATGTTTATTTCGATTCAATTATGGGCATACTAACTAATCGCTTCTCGTATACGGTGATTCGAATCAACTTCGTGTAGATTATACCTTATTGGCGTTCAGCGAACATCTCAAGTTTGCGATCCCGACCTTAGTCTAGTAATCTTGACTTAGCGTTTATACGATGTTAAATAAATTTAAATTTATTTAAAATGTCGACATGCATGGGAAATGTACCTTTTTTTTCTCATAGCTATGTACAAAAATTATGCCAGCCTCTTTTATTTAAAGCTAGCTTGAATGGTTTAGGGACGTATAAAACAGAAACGTCAAAAAAGACATTTGGTTTTTGCGCCAGAAACCCTTGTCGGCGTATATAGAACAGTCCCAACAATCAGATCAATGGATTTGGAATGCATAGAGGACAAACATACGAACATTAGTTTTTATTCATATATAATACTAGGAGAGCCCTCGGCTTTGCTCGCGCTAAAACTAAAAAAATCTTTAGGGGTGGAATTTTTAAAAATCCGCCCTTAGTGGATGTTTAGACCATAAAATGCATCAACCGCCAAAAATTCTAATTTTTAACCAGTGTGGTGTAGGCTCTGCGTTGATGAATAAGTAAGGACAAACAATTATATATATATTATAAATAAAATAATTTTATGTACATACTATAGAACGCCTTTCTTTGTCGAAAAAATTAAATTGATTTTTAAAGCAAATATTCATTATTAAACATAAAACCCACTTATCTTAATTTCAAGGTTTTTGTGTATTATAAAGAATCCAATGTACGAGTACCAAGTAGGTACACTACGACAGTCTTTTTTAAAATTAGCAAATGAATGACTTGAGAAAGTCAATATTTCAAAGTCCTTTAGATAAATCTATGCACGTTTCACGTATATGTATTGTTACTAAGTCACTGAAAAGTTACAGCTCTTGTCAAATGTTCTAAGCATATTGTTATGTTCACATAAAATATGACTAAAATAAATAACTATAAAATAAGTTAGAGAAAGCTATTTTCATTTGTACAAATTGTCATTATTTATCACATATACTAAGTTATTTTCATAATATGAAGAGGAAAATACTAAACTATTAATATACAATGTAAGCACGAACAATAAAATGAAAATTATGCAGAACAAAGTAGTTTTACGAAGGGATTAGAGCGTAAACTTAAATTGTACCTTTAAAACAGGCCATGAAAAGTGTTACAGTGAATCATAATTTCATATATTAATTGCAAATATCTTTATAATTATAAAATCGAATAGGGATTGCGTTGTGAGTAACAATGCTCCCATTACATCATATACGTCACCGCTCTACATAGTATCGGGGCTGGTCAGTGGCCAGCGAAAGTGTTGCAAATGCATTCACGCGTCAAAAACGTCGCGTGTCTAAAGCACCTATCTTGACTTTATGCCATACTGTTCAGAACGCTAATTAAAGTATTCGTAATTAGCTATAATTTAATATATTTTTTTTACGTATAAAGAAACTGATTTTGTATTGATGTTTATTTACTGTTAACGCCTGTAGTGCAATTGAAATATTTATATGAAATTAGTATTGGATTCTCTTCTTAAACTGTTTGATTCAATGAAATTTTTGGTAAGTAATTATTTTTTTGTGGTTTTTTTTATGATTTTATATTATTATTATTTTTAAACGAAGAAATTTATTTACCATTATGATCAACACAACGATATGAATGAGTATATTTTATAAAAACGAGACATGAAATAAACCTGAAGAAATGGTTGTAGAGATTCTGTGCCATAGTAAAAAATATTTGGGTTGAGCTTCCTAACACGTTGCATACATTTTTTTCGTTGGCCGGCATATTGACGTTTGAGGCTCAAAATAAATTATCTCCTTTCCACTCCTAGAAGCCATGAAATAGAAGTATTGAATTGAATTGATCTCATATCAAATATTCGCGTGAATCTAAAAAAGTATTATAAAAATAAAATATCTAAGTTTCGAATTGTAAAGTAAGATTGCACGTATAATTATTTTAATTAAATGTACTATTTTGATTAAAACCTAGAAAGGCGTAGTTTGAGCCTGCAGAAATCTCCTTTGAATAGAATCTTGAAATACTGCAATTATCATACCTTCTTTAATAATTAGTTGCAACATTAACTTAAATCTTATATTAACTAAGCAAAGTGACGCATCTACCGTAATTCAATATAGTTATTAGTCAAAATGAAAGCCGGATAGTAAATTTTGATAGTGAAAGTTGTCAGTAATAGCTGATTAATGTGATTTTCTTATCAGATGATTTAAAATATCTGTATCTGTATAAATATTATAAATGTGAAAGTTTGTGAGTATGGATGTTTGTTACTTTTATACGCCAGAACGGCTGAACGGATCTGGATGAATAGATTATAGTCTGGAATAACACATAGGTTACTTTTATTCCGCACAACTGTATGGTTCCCGTGGGATTGGTTTATTTTTGTTTTCCTAGAGGTGAAACCGAGCGAAGCGTGAGTGAGCCGCTAGTGTTAAAATAAGCGTTTAATCATTTATTGAGTAACTTATAACTGCTATTTAATCTATATTTAACAAAATTACTTCTGTTATTTTTATGTTTACTAGAATAGACGGGTCAATGACTGAACTGTGTATGTACATACGTGATACGACATTTGTAGCTTTATTAGTTATAATCATTTCAAACTTTCTAGAGTACAAGTTTAGTTTCCGGTACATTTAGAATAGTATTTTTCTCATATTTTTTAATAAAATAACAAGAAAGTTATGTAATATTGATTAGTTTCCGTTAATTCTTCCCATAATAAATTATTTTGTGCACAAATTTTAAGTTTTATTTCAATTAATTTATGAAATCTTTTCTAAGTCTTTAAAGTCCTAGTAAAAAAAGTACTTTTAAATATAAATAAAATTAGTAGGCAATAATTTAAAACGCATTCAGGGAATTCAACCTTATATTACTTAAGTCTTATCCGCCCCTAAGCGGCATTAAGTAAATACAATACTTTTTTGTTTATACATGCAACTACTCTTACTCTCGCCTCACTATTACGTGCGTAAGATGAATCCCTAGATGCCCTATTTATACACTGAATTTTACAATTACATAGAAACATAAGTAAGAAAAAATTGTTTATTTTATTATTAAGGAAAGTAGATATATTGTCTTGTTTTGTTTTAGTTTAACGAGGATGCGAGGCGTGTGGTGGAGCGCATTCGCGCTACTGCTGGTTGCAGTGGTCGTCGGTGCCCTTCGAACTGCACAGGTAAGCATTTTATTATTAAAAAAAATCTAGGTCTCCTTACTCTTGTAGCAGACACATGGCTGACCTCTTGAGGTCCTAGGTTTGAGTCTCAGACCAGCCTAAGTGAATATAATTAATAAGTAAAATTCTAAGCAGTAGTCCGGAGTTGGTGATTTTGTTATGTTACACCGCCCTGCTTTAAAGAGCACGTAAAACAGTCAGTTCTGCGCCTGATCTCTCATTAGTCCCGTTGAATCGACCCACTGGACTTTGAGAAACACACTAATATCGTCTGGGCAGCTGTCTAGTTTCCGTAATATTCTTTTTCGTTTACCAATACGTTTCTATATTTTATATAGAATGTACTTTATATAGGTATAACATAAAGGATGATAAAAAGGCGCATGTCTGAAAGTTTTACTAAAGTTAGCCACCAACTACCACTAATTATTGCCCAGTTTATCAGCGACAAAGAGAAAAAACTTGTGACTTTATAATTTCATAATATGAATATCTTAATATAACGAGCGACAACATATTAACTGTTTATAAAGCCAAACCAATTTCGACAACGTTAGTTATTTATTAAAGAGAAAATATATAATGACTAGTATATCCCATTTAATCTGAGCTAATCAGAAGGATAATCATTTCTTTTCTTTTGTGTGCACGCACTTAGTAACGCAATAAACTTGGCGTGAACAAATGGGTACATTACACTATTATTAACATAATGTTTTTGAAAAAAATATTTTCATCTAAATGTACATTCTAAACTGTCTGCCTCAGTGGTGTAGTGGCTAGCACGCACGGCTACACATCCGGAGGTCCTGGGTTCAAGTCCCGGGTCGGGCCAAGTTTATTTATTGAGTATTTCTGTTTAGTAAGCTTCAGTTACAGCTCGGAGTTGGAAAGTTTGCGGTGTTTCATCCCCGTGCTTCGGAGAGCACGTTAATTAGTCGGTCCTGCGCCTTAACTGTCACTGGTCGTGTCGAGTAGTCGTCCCACCGGAGTACGAGAGAAACACCCTCGCTTTGCTCTTCGCTAGATACGTTCCTAATCTTTTTTGTGACTTGATACAAAACATGGAATTTTCTTAATATATAATTTGCTTTGCCTTAGTTCAAAGTGATATAAAAGATTTCTGAGTAATTATTTAGTAATTAAAGAATGACATAACGTATAATATTACATACTTGTACGTGAGCTTAAATTCAACAAGCTCCAAAGAGCTTTTGAGAGCTTTTAATATCTAGACGTTTTTAAAGTAACTTTGTAAAAACTTAATATTCTTGTTTTCTGCAAGATAACTGTGTTTCTTATGACATTGATCTTTGGCTGTATAATATTATGTAAATGATCCATTTATTGTCATATCTTATTGAAGGCTATGGCTAGAAATAGACTAAGCTATGAACAGTGTGTCTGTGATACTTTAAATGTATCAACTGCATTTTATTTATGAATAGCCTGCCTTTGACAATGATTTAATATGTGCTTTAGTTTTATATTTGCAAAAAAGTAATATGTACATCTAGCATTGCTCGCTGCTTCGCCCGTGTTCAGATGACCAAACACCAAATTCTTGGGTTTTACATATTAGCATACTCTTACATTGCAGTTTTTGTATTTTTTCTCAGAAATGAGACATTTTAACGGGGTAAAAAGTATCCTATATGTTGACCCGGATAACCAGCTATCACCATACCAAATTTCATCACAAAATCCCTCCAGTGGTTTTTCCGTGATGCGGTAACAGACAGACAGACAAAAATTCTAAAAACTATAGATTCGGCCTCTGTATCTTTAATAATACCTATTTCAATAAGATTTTCCAAAAAATATTTAATGTACAGATTCGGTTCAGTTACAATTTTATTATATGTATAGATATATAATATTATGTATATAAAATTTATTTTTGTCACGGGCAAGAAACGACCAACCAAATTTCAGTGTACTTAGTGTACTTAGAAATATTAAAAAGTTACATTATTATAGGCCTCATTAAAAAAAATCATTACAAATCATTTAATAATAATATAATTAACATGAAGTTCTTTTAGAAAATTTACCATTAACAGATACAAAATATTTATTATGAGTAACGTTATTATTAAATACCGGATATATTTAAAAAATTCATATTTTTTAGGTATCGAGAACACAAAAAATGTATTTATCAAACGTACTCGATATAGGCATATAAGTAGCTTGCTTTTAGTAGGACTACTTCATGATTATTTTTTGTTCAAATAAAATTGGCACACGGCGCGCTATATATGGCTTGATAAGATTTTATTTGATGTAGTGGATTTAATATTGATTTAAAACCCTGTTGGTTTGTTTGTTGGTTATTATCTCAATATTCAATGTATTATTTCCTAAAACGTTAAAAATTTTCAATAAACGAAATAAATGAATATGTGAGTATAAGAATTTTTATAATTAACATAATTTAAGTAATTAATTATGATTTATTAAACAAAAGTTTAATAGGTATATTGGTTTTACATTTCTAAGCTCATTCTTGTTAGTTAACTTTTTTATAAAATTTTCGTTTTAGACTTACGCGAATATTTGACATTTTAAATTTAACTTTTATTTATTTGTCTTTTTTAGTTAAAAAATAAGTTATAGTTAAGAGTTTCGTATATTCAAATTCATATTCTTTTATTCTGCATGAAATTATTACATTTTTTTACTTTACGTTATGGATCTATCACCAGAGCCGGAAAGAGAAATCGCGGTATAGAAGTATTAAAGCTTTTGCTTCGGAAATCATATGAAGTGGGTTCAAATTCCGGGTCTCGCATCTCTGATATCTTTAACATTTTTATTATTTGCCACGTAAAAAAAGAGGTGGGTAAAGAATAGAACTAAAAACAACACTGACAGTGACATAGGCAGTTTTACTGTTGTAATACACGAGTGCAGTCGCGGGCTAAAGTTAGTCAGAAATATAATAGATTATCCACATTTTAAATATTTGTTAGGTCATCATTAATATCTGAGCATAACAGCGATTCAAATCTTATTAGCGGCAAATCGACTTTCTACCGGAGACTCAACGTAATGCTACGTAACAGTATCTTAGACGGTGTCGCTACTGCTCGCTACTATTTACACGTATTAATTGACCCCTTCTATAATAGATTTGTTTATACCAAAGATAATTTTGATTGATGATATCAAGTTTCTTTTAATTTATGCTAGTTTCTTAAGCTAAGTTAAGATAGCTTTTCTTATTAGAACCATGATCAGATATTTCTAGTTAGTTTTCTTTATAGAGTAGTTAGTTGCGTTGCGTATTGTTTTGTTTATCTTTTAAATGACATAAAGTATAGTTGGGCACGGTTAAAATACAATAAAAAGTTACTATATCGATATAAAAGTATCGAAAATTATAACATAAGTTTGCTATATTATGTAGATAAAAAGCATGGCTTATTATTGCCTTGTGATCGCAATTTAAAATCTTGAGGTCTAAATGAAAACTTAGACTCTGCAGGTTTCAGCGTCAGCTATATCTAAATATAAAGGATTATCGGGTTTTATTCAGTTTTTTTAATGGGTTTTGAACATCGTTTTAGTAGTAAGAAATCTATTGTATCTAGCTTCATCTTGTCTAAAAGAATTTACTCATTAGAATTTCTATTTCAATTAAAACTATTATACTTTATTTACAAAAAAAAATCTTTATTTTAGAGAAAAAAGCCGAGAGAAAAAAGACGAGGTATTTCTGGAACAAATTTTAACAAGAGGACTTATATCTTCATCGAGAAACTTGTTATTGCCAGTTACTATTTACTAAAATTACAATATAAGTTATTATATAAATACTTATGTTAGTTATGATTGACAATATTATAAACGTTTTGCTTATACTGCGTTTAACGTGACACGCAAGCAATTCCCTCGCGACCCCATTGCCTTGACATGTTCATAATTGAACTATGAGTACTTTAACTGTTCATAAAAGTAAGTACAATGATAACAATTAGGGCCAAATCTATTACAAGTAATAGTGTTCCAGAGGTAGCGTTTGCTAATGCAAAATTGTGGTACGAACCTAAGATATTAAACGAAAATAGTATTTAAATCTCAAAAATGTGAATAATACAATATAGCAAATACCTAATTTTTTGTTTCATAAAAAATGTGAAAGAAAGAAATCCGAAACTTCTTTGTTATTGTAAAGTTGAAACTTTCAAAATTTCATGACGTTGAAAATTTCATACTTAGGTCCGTAATAAACATTTTGTAATTATATCGCTTATAAGAATGTCCTCCCTAACCGATTTCGGTCACGCCGTGAACGCATGTACACTCTCCATTCCTTTCACTCTAAGCTGTGGTGTGACTATAATTTGGCATAACCGGTGACAGATCAGGCACAAGAGCTGGCTTTACGTGACCTTCGACCTTCGAGTGAAACACAGCAAATTTCGGGCAATTACTAACAATGTCTTAACAAAAATTCCCAATAGCTATGCCTGGCTCGACTTGGGACTCGAACCCAGGACTTTCAGATCTGCAGCTATTTTAACGAGCCACTAGACTAACAAGACAGTATATCACTTATATCGAGATTATGGTGCGGTCATCGACTTATCAAACACGATAATTGGCACACGTGCATTAACCGCACTTTCGATAATGGCATGCTGCATATAATTTCTAACTTCGTGATATCTAACGCTAACTGTGCACGTAGGAATCAACTTAGGCCTCTTTAAGATAACAAAGAACAAGTTAATATGGCACATAGTTGCATGATGTTACAATGTTATGTACATTACATGTTTAATTTTGTTTGAAGCTTTTCAATGGAACGCAATACGGCTGCGAACTTGAGTAGGAATGTTGCTAAAAAACAGAAAAGCTAAAATGATTTGGGAATTATTTAAAATCATAGGGGTAGCTTTCTTAAAATTTTTTAGGATCACCCTTAAGGTATATATAAATTATAGACTATTCATTAAAAAAGTATTTTTAAATTCCATTCGCAATATACGAAA